TAAAAAAAAAAAAAAAAAGTAGTCTTATTTAAAAAATCAAAAGATAGTGATACTGGATAGTAGTTGTTGCTTATTATTTTCCTTTTAATATCTTTATTTGGGAAAATAAAACATTAGTATCCCTACATCAGTACGAAACAACAACAACAACAAAAAAACCTGTTTCTGTCGAATCGATTCCGACTCATAGAGACATTAGTATCTCTCAGTTTTTCTCTACATTTATATTAAAATTTTACTTATTGATGAAATCTGAAAATCTGGGGACTAGTGCACCATACCACACATAAGTATAAAGGAACACTGTATAAAAAACCTGGAAGAGCTGATTGTTAGGTATTCGTTTTCATTTAAAAGAATCTTAACATTTGAAAGTAGATTTATTTAATAATAGTTACCCTGAGACTAAGCAGTAATTGGTGAGACACTTTGTATAATATAATCTGTATAAAGTAAGAAATTTTAGCTAAATATAACTCTGAAAATTGCTTAAATTCGTTGCATTAGAAAATGCTTGTGAATTTTAACGTACAGAACATTTTTGTGGAGTTTTTTTCTGTTTTTTTCTTTTAATTGCACTTCACGTGAAGCTTTATAGAACAAACTAACTTCTCATTAAACAGTTAGTACACATATTGTTTCATGACATTGGTTAACAACCCCACGACTCGTCAACACTCTCCTTTGTCGACCTTGAGTTCCCTATTACCAGCTTTCCTGGCCGCTTCTGCATTCTAGTCCTTGCCCCTGGGCTGGTGTGCCCCTTTAGTCTTGTTTCTAAGTTTTTTTAGTGTCTTTTTCTTACAGGCTTCCTGTGAACTTTTATCCTGAAAATGGCTTTGTGTACTAGTTGTCTATTTGATATTACCTTTTGGGGGACATGGTTTTGTTTTGATCATTTTAATCACTGTGTAAATTAGTAGCCTGTGTTACTCATTCAGCAGCATAAGAATTTTTCTGTGTTGTGATGTGATGTGATCTTTTTAGACTTTTGAAAAGGCAGCAGGATGTCCCACTAAGTGGACCAGTGGTTCCTAACTTGGCTAGGCGTCAGAGTCCTCTGAAGAACTTGCTAAAAATGCAGAGTCCCAGCCCTACTCTCAGAGGTTCTGATTTAGTAAGTTTGCCTGTGAATCTGTTTTTCAGCAAGTTCCCTATGTGATTTTGATATAACATGTCAGAGGGCCACCATTTCCCCACATAGAGGCACTTTGGATGGTTTGTAAATTTTTGCTTTTGTAAATGCTATAGTGAACATCTTTTGCATGAAGATTTTTCATATTTAGAATTAAGTAAAAAAGTATTAAAGTATACGTTTCAAAAATTACTTGATAAGTCTAACATATTTCCACTAGTAAGAAGACTCTAGAAATATCTAGAAAGATCTGTTGCATCTTTGATTTGTAATGATGTTTTGTGTCACTGTATCCCAGAGCGGTGCCTTTGCTGGGTTACCTACCTCAGGATATGATTGGAACATCGATGTTAATGTATTTGCACCCAGAAGATCGTTCCCTGATGGTTGCCATACACCAAAAAGGTAAGGACCTACTTCTTTCTTGGCAGAAAGCTTTTTTATCATTGCTCTGTTCTAATTTTCCATTTAACTTCTTGTGATACTAATCATTGGAGCTTCACCTTTAACCAGGTAAGCAATGTATTGAAATTGCCAAAACAATTTATTTTTCTGTTTTTATATACTAAAAAATTTACAAACGAATGTGTAAGGAAAGACATTTTTGTAATAATTGCTCTGTTAAATGAATTTTGTTTTGTCTTGTTATGTTACATAGTCTTGAAGTATGCAGGACAGCCTCCCTTTGAACATTCACCCATTAGATTTTGTACTCAAAATGGAGATTACATCATACTGGATTCCAGTTGGTCTAGCTTTGTGAACCCATGGAGCCGGAAGGTTTCTTTCATCATTGGTCGGCATAAAGTTAGAACGTAAGTCAGTCCGTATTCAAATCTTCTGAAGATTCATTTTTACCAAATAATATTTCTTAGCCCATTGACTCCCCCTTGATTCAGTTGGTATGTGAAATAAATAAAATGCAGATTTTTTTTAGTGCTTTTAGAAGACAGGCAATGTGTATCAAGAATTTTAAATACAGAAAAGCTTTGTAAAAAAAGACATACTTTGCAACATTATTTAATGGTAACTATAGATTTAAAATAGCTAAGTGTCCATCTTAACCATCATCAAACTCTGGAATATTTTTTGACATATGATTATATTGGCCAATAAAATATTTTACAGAGATTATGTAACATGGAAAAATGTTTGATACATTAGGTATAAAAAGAAGCATACAGAATTATATATACCCCATGATTATAATTATGTTTAAAATATACACACCCACAAACACAAACTATGAAACAGGGCAAAAAGATTGGAAGGAAATAAATCAACATATAATTTTGGTTATATGTAAGTTATAGGACTATGGAGTTTTTTTTTTACTTCTGCCTTTTTTGTATATTGAAATTCTCTTTAGTGAGCGTGTAAAACTTTTTATATCAAGCTTCTGCTGTTGAATGGCCCTTATGTGTGTCTATTTTATTAAATCCTTATATTTTAAAATTAGATTCTTTAAGATTCCTTTCTCTGCTAGCATGGCTGTTTGATTGCTATTACCTATCCATATAGCAGAGTCATCTGAACAACCCAGCTCACCAGTCTTGGAGCCTAAAATACTTGTAGTCAATTCAACCCCTTGAATTCTTAGTCTACCTTTAATTATAGATTTCTAGACCTGGCCATAGGCTTCCCTTTGATGTCTTTTTTTTTAAAGCATGAAAATTGTACTTACCTCCTCAGTATCATGCTGAGATTGAGAAACCATTTGTATTTTGTTATGCAGCGTTGTATACATAAGTATAAAACTAAGAACAGTAACTATACCAATGTTGTTTTTGTTGTTCAGTGCTGTCAACTCAAATCCAACTCAGAGTAGAACTGCCCATAGGGTTTTCTAGTCTGTAATGTTTACAGGAGCAGACCACCAGGTCGTTCTCCTGCAGAGCCGCTGAGTGGGTTACCACTGCCAACCTTTCAGTTAGCAGCTGAGTGCTTAACCATTGTGCTGCCAAGTTGACCAGTAGGACTCATTTTATCACATATCTTGATTTTACAATAGAGATAATGTATACCTGTGGTGAGCACAGGTCTCAAGGTTGCTGTTACCTCTTTGGGTTCCAGGGTTTGGCCTCTCAGAGGCGGAGCAGGTCTGGAACCTTATGGAAGAAATGGGCTTCATGCCACCCTAACTCTTGAGACTGATTTGTGCTAGAAAATTAATTTAATAATTAAGAAATATGATTACCCAAGTAAGCTGGTCAGAAAGGACTTTTTTTTTGCCAGTAGGGAAACCTATTGGGAAATGAAAATAAAACCAGATGGTTGCTTAGTGTGAATATAGAAACACCCAAGGCAGATAAGATTCTTCACATGGGATAGCATCTAGGTGTTTGTCGACTGGCCTGTGTACCCTCCTGCAGTCAGTGCTGGAGGTGCATCTTGGAGTTCCAAGGTTGCCCTTTCACTTCTCTGAAATTACCTGACATAATAGATACTCAGGATGTTTCCAGTATTTTAAAAAGTACATCAACATTTACATCTCAAGACCCAAGATCATGTGAGGAAAAGAGTTGTATTTAGTGGATATTAATCTTGCTCATAAAATAATTGTCCATCATACTTAAAAGATTTTTTTAATGCATTTATTCCTCCAAATAAGTATTTATGGATTGCCTCCTCTGTGTCAGGCATTGTGTGAGAACTGAGAACGAGAAGGTAAAGCAGGCCTCCTCTTCACCCTCTCAGAACCCGCAGTATAGTGGGAGAGATGACAAAAATGGCACTGGTGCATCAGCCGGAGCTTTGGGAAGTGTGACAACTGAAACGAAAAGGGGCTAGGAGCGTGGCCAGCAAGGGACCATCACCATATGATGTCTTTGGATCTTTCCCAACAGCTCAGTAGGCAGGTTAGGTACTGTTACCTCTCGTCTTACAGATGAAACCCATACTCAGTGAAACAAGGTAACTTGGCCAGTGGTCACGCAGGGAGGAAGTTGCAAAGTAGAGACTAGAATCAAGCTTGCCTTCTTACTGCTAGCCCAGTTCCCTTTACACAAAGCTGCCCTAATACTTCATGACATGTTAGCCACTGTTTGATGGAGGTTGTGTCTCTGTCACCTACAGATTAATCAGTTTGGGTTCTGTAAACCATTGCCGTTGATTCTGACTCATAGCAACCACATGGTGTCAGAGTAGAGCTGTGCTCATAGGGTTTTCAGTGGCTGATTTTTTGGAAGTAGATCACCAGGCCTTTCTTCTGAGGCACCTCTGGGTGGGCTCGCACCATCAACGTTTTGGTTAGCAGCTGAGGGCATTAACTGTTCGCACCACCTACGGACGCCTTGAGTTATACAATTACTGATTAAAAATGCAACTTAGTTTTGTAGAAAGTTTCACATTGAAGAATATGTAAATCTTCTCATACAAAAGCAGTCCATTCTCTTTCTATTTCAGAATTTCACTCAAAATACAAAATCCAAACACCTCTGAAGGATAGTCAAACTTATAGTGCGCAGGATGTGTTTATAGTATTAATCGGGTACTTTTATTTCCAGGTTGATCATTCATTTCTGTACTCATTCTTTTAACAAATATCTAGTGGGTGCCTGCTATGTGCCCAGGCAGTGTTCTAGGAACTAGAGAATCAGGAGGAAACAAAATAGACAACAGGGCTCATTAATAGCACCTACTTTGTTGAGGTGCTATGAGGCGGGAAAGCCTGGTGGAGTGATGTGTGGGCTCTGAACCTGGATGTCTAGGTCCCTTCTTGACCCTCCACTAGCCCTTTACTAGCTAGGTGGTCCTGAGCAAGTTTTTTATTTTTATTTTTTATTGTTGTAGTTTAAATGTTTACATTTCAGTTTAGTCTCCCATACAAAAATTTATACATACATTGTTATGTGACCCTAATTGCTCTCCCCATACTGTGACAGCACACTCCTCCTTTCCACCTCTGATTCCCCATGTCCATTCAACCAGCTGAGCAAGTTTTTAACTCAACTAAATGAGACAATACTTGTAAAGCATTTGGAACAGCGCCTGGCACATCATAAGGTTTAGAAAATGCTAGTTATTATTGTATATTGTAAAACAAACTAGTACAGTTCCTGTAACACAGAAGGTCCTAACTAAATATTAGTTTCTTCTTTCTTTCCTTTTGGTGGGCTCATATGCCATTCCCTATAATCAGGTAAAAGCAATAACTGTCGAGTCAATTCCAACTTATGGTAACCCCATGTGTGTTGGAGTAGAAGTGTACTCCACAGAGTTTTCAATGGCTGATTTTTCAAAAGTAGATCACCAGGTCTTTCTTCTGAGGAACCTCTGGGTGGACTTGAACTTCCAACCTTTTAGTTAGCAGCCAGACGCGTTAACTGTTTGCACCACGCTGGGACTAGTAGATTTAAAATACTGTAGAATTTGAGTATAAATGAGACTAGAGATATTGTGACAGCCACATTTTCACCACTGCTGTGGGGTTGCAGAATCATCTTTCTTAGATAGGTTAAGTGACTAGATCCATTAAACATTGTGTTGTTTGGTAAACTTAGGATCTTAAAATTCCTATGGTAGGTTACTCAGTTAATGTTAAGTTTTGAAACCAGTAGTCATTGAGATATTTTAGCAGCTAAGCAGGTTATTTAGTCACTGATTTTATTTGTACAAATCTAGTGCTGAAACAGTTAGAGAAAGACTATGTTGCTGTCATGTGCCATCATGTCGATTCTGACTCATAGTGACTGTATGACAGAGCAGAGCTGCCCCATAGGGTGTCCTAGGCTGTGATCTTTACGGGAGCCGATTGCCAGGTCTTATCTTCCACAGAACCACTGGTGGGTTCAAACCACTGACCTTTCGGTTTAACAGCCAAGTGCTTAGCCATTGCACCCCTCAGGACTCCTTAGAAAGACTATAGCTGTGGAGAAACTAAACCGAAACCCATCGCTGTCAAGTCAATTCTGACTCATAGCAACCCTATAAGACAGAGGAGAACTGCCCCATAGAGTTTCCAAGGCTGTAATCTTTATGGAAGCAGACTACTACATCTTCTTCCTTCAGAGTGGCTGGTGAGTTCAAACCACCAACCTTTCGGTTAGCAGCCGAGCTGTTAACCTACTGTGCCACTAAAGAAACCTGTTAATGTCACATTTGTTTCTTAATATTTTTTATACCTCCATGAATGGAATTTTAACTTCACATTTTCTATAGTTGGAGTTTAAAGAGTTGCTTTGTAAGAGCATAGGTTTATTCTTTGAATATGCTATTAAGGATCACTTTAGACTTCATGTGAATGAATTTCAAATTGCTCAACTCAGTCTTTCACTTGGCATTTTGTAGGAGTCCACTAAATGAGGATGTTTTTGCTACCAGAATAAAAAGGGCGAACAGTAATGACAAAGACATCACAGAATTGCAAGAACAAATTCACAAACTTCTCTTGCAGGTAAAGTGAGAGATTTTAAAAAACAAACATGAAAACCTCAAAGTCGTGTTTCCTTGTGTTCTATGTTAACATTCAGTCTTAGTAAAGTCACTTTACAAGAATAAACTGCAGGAGAGAGAAATCCTTACCTTCTCCATTTCAGAAAATTTTGTCTTTTTTTAAATTGTGGTAAAGATATGTGTAATACAACATTTCCTTTTTTTTTTTTAAATTAAATTTTGTTTTGAAATTTTTGGTCCCTTTTTCTGTGTTAAATACACAGCATTTTTTGTAAGAACCCATCTTAACACAGCAAAATGAGTCACAGTGAGTAAGAGGAGGGGAGAGCTCTCTCTAAGTGGGAGCGCTACTAGTGTTTTAAGCCTCTGAGCTTTGATTTCAGTATGTTTTTTAAATAATTCCAGTTTCGAAGCGGGGGTGAGATGGGGGAATGGCAAGTCTCACTATCTCTAGTTCTTGTAAGGTAAAAATAGGAAAAATTAACTGTTGGAAAGAAATACAAAAGATGCAAATCAAAACTGCAGTGAGATCCATCTCACCCCAGCAAGGCTAACATTAATCCAAAAAACAGAAAATAATAAATGTTTGAGAGGTTGTGGAGAGACTGGAACGCTTATACACTGCTGGTAGGAACGTAAAATCGTGCAAATGCTTTGGAAATCGATTTGGCACTTCTTTAAAAGCTAGAAATAGAAGTACCATATGATCCAGCAGTCCCACTTCTTGGAATATACCCCAGGGAAATAAGATCCATCACACAAATAGATATAGGCACACCCATGTTCATTGCAACACTGTTCACAATACCAAAAAGATGTAAACAACCTAGGTGCCCTTCAGTGGATGATTGGATAAACACATTGTGGTATATTCACACAGTGGAATACAACGTGATGATAAAGAACAACAACGAATCCATGAAACATCTCATAACGTGGATGAATCTGGAAGGCATTATGCTGAGTAAAATCAGTCAGGCACAAAAGGACAAATATTGTATGAGACCACTATTATAACAACTCGAGAAAAGGTTTAAACATAGAAGAAAACATTATTTGATGGTTATGAGGGAGGGAGAGGGGAATTCACTAACTAGATAGTAGACAAGAATTATCTTAGGTGAAGGGAAGGACAACACACAATACAGGGGAAGTTGGCACAACTGGACTAAACCAAAAGCTAAGAAGTTTCCTGAATACAACCAAACACTTTGGGGAACAGTGTAGCAGGGGCAGGGGTCTGGGGACCATGGTTTCAGTGGACATCTAGGTCAATTGGCATAACAAAGTTTATTAAGAAGATATTCTGCATCCCATTTTGGTGAGTGGTGTCTGGGGGTCTTAAAAGCTAGTGAGCGGCCATCTAAGATGCATCAATTGGTCCCAGCCCACCTGGAGCAAAGGAGAATGAAGAACACCAAAGACACAAGGAAAATATTAGCCCAAGAGACAAAAGGGGCCACATAAACCAGAGACTCCATCAGCCTGAGACCAGAAGAACTAGATGTTGCCCAGCTACCTCCAGTGACTATCCTGACAGGGAATACAACAGACAGTCCCTGACAGAGCAGGAGGAAAGTGGGGTGCAGAACTCAAATTCTAGTAAAAAGACCAAATTTAATGGTCTGACTGAGACTGCAGGAACCCCAGAAGATGTGACCCCCGGACTGTCTGTTAACCCAGAACTAAAACTGTTCCCGAAGCCAACTCTTCAGACAAAGATTAGACTGGACTGTAAGACATAAAATGATACTCGTGAAGAGAGTACTTCTTAGCTCAAGTAGAGACACGAGACTAAATGGGCAGCTCCTGTCCGGAGGTGAGATAAGAAGGCAGAAAGCGACAGAAGCTGGTTGAATGGACACGGGAAATCTGGAGTGGAAAGGAGGAATGTGCAGTCACATTATAGGGAGAGTAACTAGGGTCACATAACAATGTGTGTATAAATTTTCATATGAGAAACTCAACTTGAGCTGTAAACTTTCTGTTATTCTAGAAATGCCTACCTAGACTAGAGAGCCAGACTTTGCCCGGAGAGTTATTCAGATGACAGGGAACTGTCTTTCTTGTCAGCTCCAGGGCCAAAAGCATTAACCTTCACACACCTAATTTAGGAGTTAGGAGTTTACAGCTTAATTTTCTGATAGTTTTAGATAAGCTCTTAGGTAGATAATGTTGTGTCTCTCCTCTGCCCACCACATAACCAGCAACTCCAAAATTAATCCTCTTCTTCTTTTAGCCGGTTCACGTGGGTGATTCCAGTGGCTACGGAAGCCTCGGAAGCAGTGGCTCCCAGGAACATTATATCAGCATCGCATCTTCTAGTGAGTCCAGTGGGCACTGCGTGGAGGAAATACAAAAGGAGCCGGTAAGTCAGCAAGCTTTGTCTTTCTGTGCTGGTATCATTTCCTAGGTCTTGTTATCTGGACTATGTCAGTGTTAGTTCTGCCCCTTGGCATATGGTGACTTCTTAGTATATGTTCTTGACCTGAAGACCTTATCTGATAACGTTGTTGGGTGCTGTTGAGTCAGTTCTGAGTCATAGTGACTGTCATATCTTTTCTCCCATGGAGCTGCTGGTGGGTTCCAACTGCCGATCTTTTGGTTAACAGCTGAGCGCTTAAAACCATTGCGACACCAGGGCTCCTTTATCTGAGAATAGACACTATACTTGGTTTTGGTTCGGGAAAATATCAATAAAAAGAAAATAGCATCTCTGGAAAGTGATATAAGGGTTAACGGTATATTTTCTAAAAAACAATTAGCATCTTGTAAACAGATTTATTTGAAGTTTTGGTTTTATCTGTGTACCATGGTGCAGTGGGAAACGGGATTAAGGTTACTACTGAGCTTTTAGTTATGATGTCTTCAGAGAACTAGAAGCTAAATGTCTTTTATTTATATATTTTTAATGTACGTTTTCATAGTTTTTGAAGCGTATTTTATCATTCTTTTTTTCTAAGATGACCTTGCAGCAGGTCTATGTCAGTGTAAACAAGATTAAGAATCGGGGTCAGCAGCTCTACATTGAGTCAATGACAAAATCACCAGACAAGCCAGCGATGGGGACGTGCACAGAACCGTTGGGTGGTAAGTCAGCATGGTAGCCCTGGGGTTATTCTTCCAGGCTGTGTTCTTACCTACACACACATGAAATGTGGAGGCCATGAGCACAAGGCTGTGACCTGTGGTGCTTCCTTTCATATTTCTTTATTTGCCTGCACAATAATAATAATAGTAGTAGAAGTAATAATAACAGCAGATACTATTCTGAAAGCTAAATAGCATTAGACTGTAGTTGTAGTACACTTTAACTAAAGAATTAACTTTTCTGATAATACCAGCAAGTTCATAGATGTTTTTCCCCCATATGAGCTGTTTAAGGAGCCCTAGTGATGCAGCCCTGGTGGCGTAGTAGTTGAGAGCTTGCCTGCTAATCAAAAGGTCGGCAGTTTGAATCCACCAGCTGCTCCTTGGAAACTCTATGAGGCAGTTCTACTCTGTCCTGTAGGGCCGCTGTGAGTCAGAATCTACTCCATGGCAACAAGTTTGGTTTGGTTGTTTGGTGGTGCAGTGGGTGGTTAACCACTGAGCTGCTAACCAGAAGGTTGGCCGTTGGAACCCACCCAGGGACTCCTCAGGAGAAAGACCTGGTGATTTGCTTCAGTAAAGATTACTGCCTAGGAGACCCTGTAGGGCAATTCTACTCTGTCGTGTAGGGTCGCTGTCAGTGGAAAATCCACTCAATGGCACCCAACAACAACAACAACGTATGAGCTATTTATAATCCAGAAAACTTTGTTTTTAGAATGCTTTTCAGATAATGAAGTGTATTAAAATAATAATCCCTTCCTGTCATTTCAAACAAATGGAAACTGTGACTTAAGTTGGGAGAAAAACTTTGGTCTTTTTCTTGATACTATTTACTTTTCTCAAGTATAAGGTAAGAAACACTTCAAAACAGATCATTCCTAATAATTGACATTATTTTGAAAAAAGTTAAACTGTTTGCATCATATAGCAGAGGAAAGTGTTATAGAGATCAAGCGTAAGGACTTTTTCATTTAGCTCACTTTTCCCTTCATTTTTCTCCCTTGATGTGAATATAATGGGAGTCGTGATGGATTTGGGCCACTTCAAAGAGATCACAATGGCCAAAATGGGAACAGTTTGAGCAATAAAATAAATAATGTTAGTACTGGATTATAACCCGAGAGATAAAATAATATTCATGAGTCTGTAATGACAAATAAATGATTGAATGAATAAATAAAAAGAGGAGAAAGGAAGCACTGTCTTACAGAAGAAATTTGATTAATTTAGAAAGAATGAGGAAAACAGAAAATTGCCATTGGAATTCCAGAATAATTGTTGCAGGCAGGGTATTTCAGTAAATGCTAAAACTAGTAGGTGAAAGAAAGCTTAAGAGAAACAGGGTATTTGTATGATCTCAGAGTATTCATCCAAAACATTTGTTGTTTCTATTATTTATTACGTTGTAAAACAGTACCTTTACAATGGAGAAACCTGGCAGATACCACCCTAACCAAGTGATCAAGTAATAAATAATACACCAGTAATAAAACATACCAGCATCATGTACCCATGGCATGATGCGCTAAGAAGGGCACAGTACTTTGGTGATATTCTTCCCCCAAATGGATAACTTCCGTCATCAGAAATTATCATAGGAAAACATCAGAGAAACTTAAATTGAGGGGCATCTATGAAGTTCCTGACCAGTACTCTTCAAAAGTGTGAAGATCACGAAAGACAAGAACAGACTGAGGAGCCATCACAGGTTGGAGGAGACTAAGGAGACATGACAACTATGCAACATGGGATCCTGGATTGGATCCTGGAACAGAAAAAGGACACGAGTGGAAAAATCTGTGAACCCAAATAAAGTCCGAAGCTCAGTTAATAGTATTTTACCACTGTTAACTTCTTCGTTTTGTTCGTTGTACTTGGTTACATAAGATGTTAACATTAGGGGAAGCTGAGTGAAGGGTATATGGGAACCTCTATTATTTTTGCAACTCTTCTTTAAATCTAAAGTGATTTCAAAATTCAAAGTTAAAAAAAAAGTTATGAGTGAAAGTTAATACAAGCAACAGAGAACCCTCTTCCAAGCCAGCTCGGTGACATTTATTAATAATAACAAGACCAGCAGCTAACATTTCTTACTCAGCGTCTCAACAGTATGTGACAATTACTCTTTCCTTGAAATAGTTTCCATTTTTAGGTTCCATGTAGCATACTTGCCAGTGTTTTCTTTTATTTTTCTGACTCCTGTTTTTCAGTCCCCTTTACTGGCTCCATTCTCCTCTACAGGAAGTTTAAGTTCTTCAGTGCTTGAGTCTGGGGGCCTTTTTTCTTCTCTCAAGTTAAGCATTTGACTGTTAACCAAAGGGTTGGTGGTTTGAACCCACCTAGAGGCACCTCTGAAGAAAGGCCTGGCTATCTGCTTCTGAAAGGTCACAGCCTTGAAAATTCTGTAGAGCACAGTTCTACTCTCACACACATTAGGTCACCATAAGTCAGAATCAACTTGATGGCAACTGGTTTTTTGGTTTTGGTATACTTGTGGCATCAAATATGGTAACCACTGACTGGCAGTCTACTTCCAAAATATCAGCCACTGAAAATCCTATCAAACATAGTTCTACTCTGACTCACATGGGGTTGCCATGAGTTAGAATCGACTTGACAGCAACTTTTTTTTTTTTAACCACATTTGGCAATTTAAATTTATATTAATTACAATGAAATAAAATTAAAAACTCAGTTCCTTAGTTGCTCTAACAACATTTCAAGTGCTTAATAGCTACACGTGTCTATCGGCACTTGCATTGGGCAGTACAGATACAGGCCATTTCTGTCATCGCAGAAAGTTCTCTTGGACACAGGGTTCAACACAGGTAATGCAGTGCACTTTACTTGCAACACATAAGAAACATAATATCTGGTTGTCCTACTCCCATTGGTGGCTGAGATTGACCATTAGGTTTAGGGAATGTCAGCCTGGTCCCTCTATTGTAAAGTTCCCAGTCAGCCTTTCATCTAATCATTTCTTTTGTTGATAATCTTTGCCTGAAACATTTATTTCACTCCTAATTTTTTTTAAATACAAATGTCATCTTTCATGTTACCATTCTATATGTAACATGCTCTTCATCTTATTTTTTCACTTTATTATGTATTTTCTATCCCAGTGCATTTGTATTTTCGCTCACTGTTAATAGCTGCGTAACATTCAGTTGAATGCATGCATCATAAAGTACCGTGATTTAATTTTGTTGAGTAAGTACATATTTTTCACTATATGCTAAGTATTTTTATTTCACATGGTTTTGTTCTCTTTCAGATGAACAGAAGGCCTTTTCTTCCTTCCAGACATTGAAAAATGATAGCATGCACACTGAGTCTTGTAAGGATTTGAGAAGAGATCAGCACAGCCCATCCTACCAGCAAATCAACTGTATTGATAGTGTTATCAGGTATGAGACACAAGTTTCCATAAAATGTTAGTTTTTCCAAAAGCATGCATTGTTAGTGTGGAGCCTTCATATAATGTTTGATAGCTGTGCTGTCTTGAATTTTCACTGTAAATCAGGAGATAATTATGAACTTCCTACTAAATATATAGTATAGTATATTGAACATTATGGGGGATGTGAAAAATTAGAAGATGCATCCTTTTTTTTTTTTTTTTATTGTACTTCAGGTGAAGGCTTACAGAACAAATAGTTTCTCATGAAACAGAAGTACACATGTTGTTTTATAACATTGGTTAACAACCCCACAACATATCAACCCTCTAACTTCTCAGCCTCTTTTTTTTTTTTTGTGGTGAAAATACACATAGCCAAAGATACACCATTTCAAAAATTTCTACATGCACAGTTCAGTGACATTGACTATGCTCTTCCAATTGTGCTGTTATTCTCACTTAAGATGAAGGCTTACAGAACAAAATAGTTTCTCATTTAACAGTTGCTACAAATGTTGCCCTATGACAATGGTTAACAATCTCACAACACATCAACAATATCCTTACTCAACCTTGGGTTCCCTATCACCAGCTTCCTTGTCCCCTTCTGCTTTCTGGCCCTCGTCACTGGACTCTTGTACCTCGTTAGTCTCGTTTGGTTTTACGGGGGCATCCTTTTTTTGAAGGAGCTTATAGTATAATAGGAAATCCTGGTGGCATAGTGGTTAAGAGCTACAGCTGCCAACCAAAAGATTGGCAGTTCAGATCCACCAGGCGTTCCTTGAAAACCCTATGGGGCAGTTCTCCTCTGTCCCACAGGGTCGCTATGAGTTGGAATCAACTCAACGGCAATGAGTTTGTTTTTTTTTTTTGGTTTATAGTATAGTAGGAAGACAAGACTTAAACATCAGTTCAAGGTCACAGGTAAAGCAATGTCACAATCCAGTAATTCAGGCTGGAGTGGGCAGGGAAAACTTCATCAAAGAAGAATGTACAAAGTATCCCAAACAGAAGTGGCAAAGAGGTGGGAAATGGCACAGTGAGAGGTCAGGTAAGAATATGTGGCCCAATCATGTTATTGCAGATATCTGAAGAGCTACAACATTCCAGCTTTGAAAAGAAAGTGCATATCCTGTACCGATACAAATTCTTCGTCATCAGAAGACGACAAACAAATCCACAAGGCAGATGGTATCCACACATTGCACAGTAACAGGAATGCCCTTCGAAGTTAGAGAAAAAGAATAATTACAAACCCATCCCATCCTTTCTGTCTGTTTGCCTTTCATCTCCTGTCTTTAAATACTTCATCAGAATTACAAATAAAGGAGTCCTGGTGGCACAATGCTCGGCTGCTAACCAAAAGATTGGTGGTTCAAACCCACTCAGCGGTTCCGTGGGAGAAGGACCTGGCGATCTGCTTCCGTAAAGATTACAGCCTAGGAAACTCTATGGGGCAGTTCTGCTCTGTCACATGGGGTCGCTGAGTTGAAATCGACTCAACAGCACCTAACAACAACAATCACAAATTATCTTAGTTTCATATTACCTCTTTATGGCGTGTAGGTTTTAACTTGTCAGCTATAAACTTCTGGGTGATTTTTCTTTTCACTGTCAGTTTCTCTTATATCACCAGCTGTTACTCAGATCCCAGTCATAGCTAAATCAGAAATGACGACAGCCGGACAGTCCACGGACGCTGAGGAAGGGGTTCCACGGACCCTCTCCACAAAGGCCCTGAGCTTGGTGTCGGGCGTGAGCCAGTGCAGTTACAGCAGCACCATCGTTCCCGTCCCACCGCCTGACCCAGGTACCGCAGCACCTTCTGCCTCCCAAGTATATTTAAATATGATACCTTTAGAAATCGAGCTAATACCATTTACTTGGTTATACCTACTACATTTTAAATACATTTTTCCTTTCTTTAGTTCAGTTAAAGTGTTTTTGGAAATCTATTTATCTTGGTTACACATTTTGGACTGTATTTGTCAGTTATGTTATTTGTCGATCAAATTAGTTGATACATGTAAAGCACTTAGAACAATATTTGATACACAATAACAATTAGTGTTGGCCATTATTATTATTATTTTTTTATTGTGCTTTAAGTGATGTTGGCTGTTGGCTTTGTATAAATGCCCTTTATTACGCTGAGGGATTTCCCTTCTATTCCTATTTTGCTGAGGGTTTTTTTTTTCCTTTTTTTTTTTTAATGTCTTTTTATTTATTGTGCTTTAAGTGAAAGTTTACAATTAAGTATTTATACATATGTTGTTATGTGATCCTAGTTGCTCTCCCTATACTGTGACAGTACACTCCTCCTTTCCACCCTGGGTTACCCGTGTCTGTTTAACCAGCTCCTGACCCTTTCTGCCTTCTCATCTCGCCTCTGGACAGGAGCTGCCCATTTAGTCTCATGTATCTACTCGAGCTAAGAAGCTCACTCTTCACAAGTATCAATTTATGTCCTATAGTCTAGTCTAGTCTGTGTCTGAAGAGTTGGCCACAGGAATGGTTTTAGTTTTGGGCTAACAGAGTGTCTGGGGGCCATGTCTTCTGGGGTCCCTCGAGTCTCAGTCAGACCATTAAGTCTGGTCTTTTTACTAGAATTTGAGTTCTGCACCCCACCTTTCTCCTGCTCCATCAGGGACTCTCTGTTGTGTTCCCTGTCAGGGCGGTCATTGGTGGTAGTCAGGCACTATCTAGTTCTTCTGGTCTCAGGCTACTGGAGTATCTGGTTTACATGGCCCTTTCTATCTCTTGGGCTAATATTTTTCTTGTGTCTTTGGTGTTCTTCATTCTCCTTTGCTCCAGGTAGATTGGGACCAATTGATTCATCTTAGATGGCCACTCAGTAGCTTTTAAGACCCCAGACGTCACTCACCAAAGTGAGATGCAGAACATTTTCTTAATAAAGTTTGTTATGCCAGTTGACCTAGATGTCCCCTGAAACCATGATCCCTAGGCCCGCACCCCTGCTACTCTGTCCCTCGAAGTGTTTGGTTGTATTCAGGAAACTTCTTAGCTTTTGGTTTAGTCCAGGTGTGCTGACTTCCGCTGTATTGTGTGTTGTCCTTCCCTTTACCTGAGATAATTCTTATCTACTATCTAGTTAGTAAATTCCCCTCTCCCTCCCTCCCCACCCGTGTAACCATCAAAAAATGTTCTGTGTTTAAACCTTTTCTTGAGTTTTTATAACAGTGGTCTCATATAATATTTGTCCTTTTGTGTCTGACTGATTTTACTCAGCATAATGCCTTCCGGATTCCTCCATGTTATGTGTCACGGCTTCATTGTTCTTTATCGTTGGGTAGTATTCCATTGTGTGAATATACCATCATTTGTTTATCCATTAGTCCACGGATGGTCACCTTTTTGCCGTTGTGAACAATGCTGCAATGAACATGGGTGTGAATATATTTATTCGTGTGACGCTCTTTTTTCTCTAGGATATATTCCAAGGAGTAGGATTGCAGGATCGTATGGTACTTCTGTTTCTACCTTTAAAAAGGAAGTGCCAAGTCAATTTCCAAAGTGGTTGTACCATTTTACATTTCCACCAGCCGTGTACAAGTGTTCTAGTCTCTCCACAACCTCTCCAGCATTTATTATTTTGTGTTTTTTAGATTATTCCCAGCCTTGTTGCGGTGAGAGGGTATCTCATTGTAGTTTTGATTTGCATTTCTCTAATGGCTAATGATGGTGAGCATTTCCTCATGTATGTGGTAGCTGCCTGAATGTCTTCTTTGATGAAGTGCCTGTTCATATCCTTTGCCCGTTTCTTAAATGGGTTATTTGTCTTTTTGTTGTTGAAGTTTTGCAGTATCTTATAGATTTTAGAGATTAGACCCTGATGGATATGTTGTAGCCAAAAATTTTTTCCCAGGCTGTAGGTTGTCTTTTTACTCTGTTGGTGAAGTCTTTTGATGAGCATAAGTGTTTGATTTTTAGGAGCTCCAAGTTATCTAGTTTCTCTTCTCGTGTTTGTACACTGTTAGTAATGGTTTGTATTCTGTTTATGCCATGTATTAGGGCTCCTAGAATTGTCCCTATTTTTTCTCCCATGATCTTTATCATTTTACATTTAGGTATTGGATGCATTTTGAGTTAGTTTTTGTGCATGGTGTGAGGTATGCGTCTTGTTTCATTTTTTTTTCTGATGGATATCCAATTATGCCATCATCTTTGTTAAAGAGACTCTCTTTTCCCTAGTTAATGGACTTGGGGCCTTTGCCAAATATCAGCTGCTCATAGGTGGATGAATTTACATCTGGATTCTCAATTCTGTTCCATTGGTCTATGTATCTGTTGTTGTATGAGTACCAGGCTGTTTTGACTATCGTGGTGGTATAATAGGTTCTAAAACCCGGTAATGTGAGGCCCCCAGTTTGTTCTTCTTCTTCAGTAATGCTTTATGTATCTGGGGCCTCTTCCCTTTCCGTATGAAGTTGGTGATTTGTTTCTCCATCTCATTAAAAAATGCTGGTGGAATTTTGATTGGGATTGTATTGTATCTGTAGATCACTTCCAGTAGAATAGACATTTTCACAACGTTGAGTCTTCCTATCCATGAGCAAGGTATGCTTTTCTACTTACGTAGGTCACTTTTGGTTTCTTGAAGTAGTGTCTTGTAGTTTTCTTTGTATAGATCTTTTATATCTCTGGTTTGAGTTATTCCTAAGTATTTTATCTTCTTGGGGGCTATTGTAAATGGTATTGATTTGGTGATTTCCTCTTCGAAGTTCTCTTTGTTGGTGTAGAGGAATCCAACTGATTTTTGTATGTTTATCTCATGTCCTGATATTTTGCCGAAATCTTCTATTAGTTCCAGTAGTTTTCTTGTGGATTCTTTGAGGTTTTCTGTGTATAAGATCATAACATCTGCAAATTGGGATACTTTTTACTTCTTCCTTACCAATTTGGATGCCCTTTATTTCTTTTTCTAGCCTAATTGCTCTGGCTAGGACCTCCAGCACAATGTTGAATAAGAGATGTGATAAAGGGCATCCTTGTCTGGTTCTTGTTCTCAAGGAATGCTTTCAGACTCTCTCCATTTAGAATGATGTTGGCTGTTGGCTTTGTATAAATGCCCTTTATTACACTGAGGAATTTCCCTTCTATTCCTATTTTGCTGAGAGTTTTTTTTGTTTTAATTTTTTTAAATTTATTGTTGTGCTTTAAGTGGAAGTTTACTATTCAAGTTAGTCTCTAATACAAAGATTTATACATACATTGTTATGTGACCCTAGTTACTCTCCCTATACTGTGACAGAACACTCTTCTTTCCACCCCTGATTTCCTGTGTCTATTCAACCAGCTCCTAACCCTATCTGCCTTCTCATCTTGCCTCTGGACAGGAGCTGCCCATTTAGTCTCATGTATCTACTTGAGCTAAGAAGCACACCCTTTACAAGTATCGTTTTATGTCCCATAGTCCAGTCTAATCTTTATCTGAAGAGTTGGCCTCGGGAATGGTTTTAGTTTTGGGCTAACAGAGAGTCTGGGGACCATGTCTTCTGGGGTCCCTCAAGTCTCAGACCATTAAGTCTGGGCTTTTTACTAGAATTTGAGTTCTGCATCCCACTTTTCTCCTGCTCCATCAGGGGACTGTATGTTGTTTTCCCTGTCAGGGCAGTCATTGGTGGTAGCCGGGCAGCATCAGGTTCTTCTGGTCTCAGACTGATGAAGTCTCTGGTTTATGTGGCCCTTTCTGTCTCTTGGGCTAATACTTTCCTTATGTCTATGGTGTTCTTCATTCTCCTTTACTTCTGGTGGTTGCTGAGAGTTTTTATCATGTATGGGTGTTAGACTTTGTCAGATGCCTTTTCTGCATCAAATCTGCATGTGGTTCTTGTCTTTTGTTTTATTTATGTGATGGATTACATTAATTGTTTTTCTAGTGTTCAACCATCCCTGCCTACCTGGTATAAGTCCCACTTGGTCATGATGAATTATTTTTTTGATATGTTGTTGAATTCTGTTGGCTAGAATTTTGTTAAGGATTTTTTGTGTCTATGTTCATGAGGGATATTGGTCTATAATTTTTTTTGTGGTGTCTTTACCTGGTTTTGGTATCAGGGTTATGCTGGCTTCGTAGAATGAGTTTGGGAGTATTCCATCCTTTCCTACGCTCTGAAATACCTTTAGTAGTAGTGGTGCTAACTCTTCTCTGGAAGTTTGGGAGAATTCTCCAGTGAAGCCTTCAGGGCCAGGGCTTTTTTTTGTTGGGAGTTTTTTAATTATGTTTTTAATCTCTTCTTTTGTTATGGGTTTATTTAGTTGTTCTATCTCTGTGTTAGTTTAGGTAGTGAGTTTCTAGAAATTTGTCCATTTCCTCTAGGTTTTCAAATTTGTTAGAGTATGATTTTTCATAGTATGCTGTTATGATTCTTT